TCGACCCATAAAAATTAAATATTAAAAATTAATTTATAATCATGAATTGATAAATTAATTTTCAATTTAAATTCTTTTATTATGAGCGATATAAATAGTTCAATGATTCCACTTTATCGCAAAAATAAAGCACAATGTATTGGTCATATGATGGCTACGTACACGTGATTAATTTATGTAATTAAATTATTTATCCAATACAACGCTATCATTTCAAAAGATTTTGTTTTCTTTTATTTATTATCTTCTTCTTTTTTTACAAATACATATGTAACACCTTAAGAAAAATCTCTTTCATTTTTTTAATTATAGAATTATAGAATTTAATTACAGATTTTAATTAGAATAATTTTTCGTTTAAAGAATTCCTTAATTCTTATGGGAAATTAATTGACTTTTATCGATTTATACAACGAAATCCAAATATTTTCATGTATCATATTTAACGAACGAAGAAAATTTTTGAAAGTTCGTGCAATACTTCTTTGAAAGAATGATTTAAAGTAGAACACGAGCACGAGTAAAGTATATGTACTGTAAAAGTAAAGACAATTAAAATAAATGAACTTCGTATCTCGTCTATTTTGTAGAATAGGAATAAAAAATTTTCTGTTTTATAATCTCAGCTTTGTGCATGAACGGTTCATTCAAGGTAGTATTTCGTAAAGGATTATCTTGGTAAATGATTGATTGATTTTCATTTTCTTGATCTATTGCAATTTATTGAGCTTGGCAGCAATTTTTTCAAAAGTATTTGCAACCATTACATTATGTTCATATAAAATGTATATTTTATTACTTATAACGAGGAATCTAATAAATAGTCATACACACACACAACACGCGCGCGCGCGTATATACTTGATTAGTTCCAAAACTTTGAAGGTGCGACATTTGTTAGAAAATGCGCGTACTATAACGTAGATTAATCGGTACACAAATGAATAAACTATAAGAATAATTATAAATTATTTTTAACAAAATTTGTTCACATTTTCTTTTCTTCATTTTTTTTAAGTATTCTTAACAATTGTATTTATTACATAAAAGCTGTTTTTTTTAATACTTTATAATTATTGGTTCGACAAACTGTATTCACAAAATTGTATATTTAATATACAAATTCACCTTCCCTGGTCAATTTAAACCTTAACAATTACAACGGAAGAGTAAAAAATTGGACTAAAAGCAATAACGAATGGAAACAAAATTTCGTTGAACATTAAATAATTGAGTTTTCAGCTTATGAAAATGTTGTCCTCGCTCTGTCATAATAATAATATGTCTATAATTTCATGGGAGTGTTTCGATTAATTTTCTCACAAAAACAAACATTTTATCTACCCTCGCAAGTTTGAAAGCTACGGCCGCCCGCAAATATTTAAACAACTTTACAAATGTATCGCATCGTATCAATGAAAAACAAAGTTTCGTCGCAATGCTCTTTATTGTAAGCCGGGACAAACGATAAGGATGTCATTAGCTAGATTACTAAAATTATGATAGGACTGTCTACGTATAGGCTCATTCGTTCTACCGACGAGTCGCTCCTTTCTTATCGTGAAGGATATATACTCCTCCCCTTGCCGCACATCCCGATTTTCTTCACCAGCTGTCCGTGCGCATACAACTGTAAAAAAAAATTGTCGCCGTTCATGCGCACAAGTATTTAGCGCCTGCCCGCTCACCCGTGAAAAACGGATGACGCGAGAAGAGACGCAGCATCGAAGTCGCGAAAATCCCTTGGCAGTCCCGTATAAAGAAACACGTGCACCGTCGCTTGGCATCAGTCTTGCGACGACCGTCGCTGACGATCGGCCGTCTCCGACTTGGTTCTCGCAACGTGAACTCAATCTACCCTTTAAGTCCCGGTTAATGTGAGTATGCGCGCGGCCACCCTCCAACTCATTTGCTTCCGCATTCACGACTTGGAAGGAGCCGCCTGGTCGTGTCGGGCGAATTCGCTCTCTTCCGGTGAGAGTCGCAGCCGGAATTTCACTCGCGCACCCTCAACTCTCGTCGCTCGCGGACTTGCAAAATTGTCATCTTGAGTTCCGTGGGCTTTATTATTATTATTTTTTTTTTACATTCGTGGAGAACGCGGCATCAGATCGTTGTAATCAGATATGTGCATGTGTGCGTGATTCGACTGGTCGTATGCCGGAGTGGGGAGAAGGACGTGCTTTGGAATATCGTAGGATAATTCTATTACGGTGTATTTATTTTTGAGCGTTAGTCCTGGCAGATGTGCTGCATTCCTTCGAAGTTCTCTAAAGTTAATGCTGTATTGCCTTGAGACATCGTATACGGAGAATTCTAGGAATTTAAATCAAGTTAGAGTTGTGATATTCCATTTCGCTTGCGTGCATTAGTTTTTTTTTTTGCACGTACAGCAAGTTTAGCCGACAATCACCTACGAATCATCGACTCGACCTATACAAAGACACTACATCAATGCACCAATGTTATTATTCGTTGTATTTATGGCAGCTCGTTAATGATTGTAAGTATCGCTATTGGAAATAGGATTTTACATAATACGAAGCGATCTCTTGGATATAAAAATCGCAATTGAAAAAGAAACCGAGTAAGCGAACTAAGAGTAAGGAGATTTAAGATTACGCATTATCGGTGACATTACACTACTCGTTATTACAACGTACAATTAAATGTAATACTTTTTTTCTCATATTTTTTTGTTTGTGCTTTTCTTCTTCTATTTAATTTATCGTATCGATGAAACACTTAATGCAATATTATTTTATCGTGCATTGTTATTTAATGTAGTTTTATCGACACTTAAAAGTCGATATGGAAATTTCAATGTTAAACGAGATGAATAATTATTTTATAATACCACTGACAGAATCGTACGAGCTAAGATGAGACGTGTAATTCAGCGTGCCATTACCATTCAATTTATTAGCTTATGTAAGTTTAGCACCTATCATCTCGAGAAAAATTATATAGTCTCAATCTTATGATAATCATAAATTCTAATCATCTCTTTGTATCATCAATCGGACTCCAGTCTCTGATAATATTACGTTACTATATTAAATTTAATTAGCCGGTCTGTGAGCCATTGACATTAATATTGTCTAATTAACCGTCTGAATTAACAAATTAAAAATAAAATTATTTGCATAATTTATACTTGCATTTGTGCGCGTAATACGCTTGTAGTTCTTGTGAAATGTGAAAGATCACCCGTTACATTATTGTACGTAAGTATATTTATCCTTTGACAAATAGTGGCACATTCTAATTCGCATATTTAATCCTGCTATCGAAATTATCAAATAACCAAAAGTCAGTACGTTTTCAAAATAAATTTACCTTTTCTTACAAATAAATCTCTCTCATTTATAATATCGGTTGATTTTTTTTGTTTTTTTTTTGTTTTTTTTTTTTTTTTATAATAGTCGAATGAAAAACAAATTTAGGAACAAAAGATCGATTTGGAAAGCAAAATGTAATGCAAACATACGCGTCGTATCGGTAAGAGGATACTTTTTATTTTCAGCCTTATATATTCGTTATTTAATAATTCTTATTCAATTCATAAATTATAAGCATATTTATTATCTTGGTGAATAAAGGACTAGTTACGCTTATAAATAATGTATTGATTGCTATTCGATCTGTCTAATCCTCGTCCTTTTCGGAGGTAATGCGATGAATCGGCGTAATGTTAATCAGATTGTCTTAGGTTTCACGTTTTTAATGTCAAAGATTATTTATACGAAATCAAATTTATTTATTAACACTAACGAAACTGAACTCGAACGAAACTGCTATACCTACCTAGCAGCAGTAAATCATAAAAATAAATGAATGGAAAGTCTGAACGGTTACACCGAAGATTGGAAGAATAAAGATTTGATCTTAGATTAAACAAATTCAGTGAAAGCGATGAATATTTCTTTTCTTTTTCTTATGCTCTTGTAATTCTGTAATATTTTTATTCGTTTGCAAATACGATACAATGAAGGAGTATATTTTTTACATTTGATACGTAATACGTGCAGATCATTTATTATAATACTTATAAACAAAATAAATAAAGTATGGTATAAGTAATAATTTACGACTTTTATTTTTTCTTCTTTTTTTTTTTTGCTTATTTAAATAAGTTTTTCTCCTTAGACTTGTATATTTCTTGCTGTTCTTATTGTTATTTAGTTTTTTTGCATCGCTAAGTTGAACTTGATGTAATTGACTATTTGCGAATTACAATTATTTCTGCTTTAATTGTACACTGGCGGAGTTGTTTAAATGAAGTTTCGTTGTACTTATCCGTATTGAATAACTTTCTTTTATGACGATGAAAGTAGTTTCCTTACATTATTTAATTATTTAATTAATGCAATTCAACTTTTCTCTCTCTCTCTCTCTCGCGCGCTCTCTCTCTTTCTCTCTCGAAATATGTCTTAATAAGAGTTATTTTACCTGGTGGCTAATTTATTCAAATCGGCAACCCAATGTAAGTTTGTTTTTTTTTTTTTTTTGATCACTTATATGTAAAGCATTTCAAGGAAAGTAAAACTTATTGCTACGTAGTCGCTCAAGGAATTACGGTCGGATCTTAAAATTTTTCATAGTATTAATGTGAAAGTAACGACGAGGATTAATTTTTTATTCGACATCTCTATTGACAATGCGTGTATTTTCGATAGCCTCAAACGAATACAAATATTCACATTATATAAGCTTAGACGAATACATGTATAAATCAAAGCAATTATAAGCAACTTGTTACGATTGATCAATCGTGTATGTTTTTTGGAGCGAGTGGCGAGTCACCTCCCAAACATTAATAAAATTCATTTAAAAATTCCAACCAACATCCGTCCCGATAAGTATTATATACTTTCTTGAACTCCTCGTGCCCTTAAAGTCTCTCAACTAAATTTGTTAATCTCCACCACAGCACTCGCAATCGGCGGTTAATCCTCATATCATCATAGACACGTGTGTTGCCTGTTTCAGTGCAACTGCGGTGAGTCGAGTAGGGCCATGGCGCAGGCGCAGAGGCCGTACCGTAAATATCGACAGCTACGCAACTGCGTGGTAGCGTTGCTCAGGCGCCGTTTGCCGATCGTCAGCTGGCTTCCAGACTACAACAGTCATAAATTCGTTGGGGACGCCATCGCCGGTATCACCGTCGGCCTCACAGTCATGCCCCAGGGGCTTGCCTACGCCACCCTTGCCGGACTTGAGCCCCAGGTTCTCAATAACCTCGATTATCTCGTATTTTTTCAATGAAAATAGTCCCGGTCGTTTCCGTGTATGTCGAGAAAGTTTTTTAACTGCTCTAGCTACTGGAGATAGCTGAGACGTACTACACGTTTTAGAAATCGGCAAGAATTTATCGTAAAATCAACATCGCTACTGCCAATTTATTCGCATGGCAATTACATTATTATATTCTGGTAAGATTAGCCGAATCGAGATTATTGAGGCTCATCCGATGACGTTTTAACAGCCAATGGCAACTGAATGTTCCATTGCAAAATTCAAAGCATGTTTTTATACAAAAAGTTTTTTGGGAATGTCAGCCGCTTTCCGTTTTTTTTTGTTTTTAAGACGGGAAGGGTGAATGGAATTTTTGACCAACTTTTTTACTCCCCGTTTAGACAAAAATACGACAAGAATTAATAAGAGAAATTATTGTCAACAGTACGGACTGTATTCGGCGTTTGTCGGGGCTCTCATCTACGTGATCTTCGGCTCATGCAAGGATATCACCATTGGACCGACAGCCCTCATGGCCCTCATGACCAATCAGTATGTCCAGGGCCGGAGCGTCGATTTCGCCATTCTTCTCACGTTCCTATCAGGCTGCATGCAACTCCTCATGGCTGCCCTCAGACTAGGTTTGTTCCTAAATTATCATCGGATTTTTTTCCCGCTAATGTACCCCTTTGTCCGTTGTTGGGGCGTTACACTTGCATAAAGAATGCATAAGGGGCGGCCGTTTAACACAGCTACCTGGAAAGGGCTTTGCACGTGCCTAACAATTGCCTCTGGGGGTTTTAAGGCTCTTTACAAGCATGCTCCAACGCCCCAAGAGACGTAATTGATAAATTGATTTTCTTCGGCTTAAGTTTCGAGCATTAAAATCGACTTACCAAAGCACATGGCATAATTTATTTTCCCTTTACCGCTTCTTTTCTTTGCTTTTTTTTTGTAGTATCGGACGTGTAAACACATATATTAAATAACTAAAAAGTTGTTTATACTTTAAGCTGGAAGAATACTATTATTAAGCTTCAAAACATATTAGCCTTCTTAATCTATTTATTCTAAATCTCATAAATCCATTTATCAAATAGCATTTTAATTTTTAGTTATTATTTATAAATTTTTATGCAGCTTTTTATAAAAATTTGGTTTAAAATTAATCTTAATAATATGTGTGAAATCGATTTTACATAAAATGTTTTAAAGCATATAAATCAAACGTGAACATTATGCTTGGTATATCTTTAAGTGGATTATCTTCAGACAAAGTCGAAACGATTAATTTTGTGAAAAAATTAAAAATTTAAAACACGCGTGTGCGCGCGCGCGCGCGCACACACACACACACACACACACACAGTAAGAATATTTTATGAGAGGACAAAATCTTCTTAAATTTTATTTTTTTTCGTTAATAGGTTCATTCATAAAGCAAAATAAAGCAAAATATAAATGATTATAAATATATATAAATGAACAAATCATGTTATTTCACGAATTAACATCGCTTCAACATCTTTTCTTCGAGCTTATTCGAAACTGTTTGATTTCTTGGCCCGAACCGCCAATGTTTCGATAGCTTTATAATAAATGCCGCCCGCCCTAGCGGATACTTAGGAAGGAGTGAAGTGGAAGGGTTATAGAAATGTGTAGTACGCACAGACTTCGTTAACATACGATTTATTTATAGTTACAGTAATAATAAGCAGCATTCACTTCTCATAGAAGAGCGTAAACTCTGTCTTTTCGCAATAATGTAATTGCTCCTTGATTGTGACGATGTTGTTTTTGTAAGGATCACCGATGGAAGCTAATGACCTGCTACTGTTGCAAAGAGTAGCAGGAATATGCGCACACTCCTGGAAAGGACGTGTGGCCTGAATGCTGATATGGAATACCTTGATACCGTGCTTCTTGTAGTCGTGTACTCTCTTGTAATGTAGTCAGCACCTTTGACTGCTTTTAACTGGTAGCGTACTTGATGATTGAACGTGAGTTCCTTGTGATGGTTTCACTGCGCGAGTGTAATTGAGTGAGTAACTTATAGTTGTAAACTCCAGCCGAATAATGTAGCTGAATAGTGTAATGACTGATAGATGGACTGATTGTCTAAATTACAATGAGCGCTTAAGCGTGGTTGTAATCTAGGCAGTCGCGCGGCTGCTTACGTAGCTGGTAACGATGCATAGATGTTGCTGTGCGGAAATTTTGCATGACATGCGAGACTAAAGCTTTAGAAGTTTCGAGAGCTTCAGTAAAGGAAAACTTTAGTAGTTTGGAGAATTGTAAAGAACGTTACTATTTGAAAACCAGACAAGTATTGTAGGACATTTGAACGTAAGGCGTTGGAATATTCGAGAATTCTCGGAATCGAATGTTTACAAATTTTGAGAGCTAAAAGGCCTCTCTGAGAGCCAAAGTGTTGGAAAATGCTCCTATTCCGAACATTCCACCCGTCATCATCAATTTTGTTGATGATTATTTTCCTTCCTCAGGGGTTGGTAGCACTGCCAGTTTATGTATTGATCTTACCATAGTAGTTGAAGCTGTTTTTATTGTAGCCAGCGTAGTCAGTCCATCCTTGCCAGGATGTATGTCGATAACTCGAGTGAGAGGGCACTTGCACGGTGAGAAGCGTTGGTCGTTGACAACTACCAACGAGCCAATATTGATGTCACGACTTGGATAATGGTATTTAAAAGGAGGTGACCATTGTGCCCAGAAGTGCTGTAAACATTGTTGTTTAAATTGCCAGCGAGACAATCCTGACATGGACAAATCCTTGAGAGATTGTTCTGGAGTAGTTGTGAGCGAGCTCCCTATTAGGAAATGTCCGAAGGTGAGTGCCGAAATATCTTCGGGGTTGTCACTCATCGGTTCTAATGGCCTTGAGTTGGGGATTGCCTCGATCTGAGCAAGTAAGGTAGTGAACTCTTTAAGAGTAAACAGGCTTTCTCTAATAGTCTGTCTTACGTGGTGTTTTACTGATTTCACCAGAGCTTCCCACTTCTCACCATGTGGCGTTGTGGGTGGATTGAATACCCATTGAATATTGTCTTGTCGAAGACAAATTGTCAAGAGTCTTACGACCTCTCAATCTCAGTGTAGTATTTTATCACCATGCGTACTGCATCAAGAGGATCTGGAGATTTACGACCTCCTACGTCTACATGTAGCGCATGCTGACACCACGTGGCAACAACCAAGAAGCGGCAAGATCTCACCGATTCTCATCGTTAACGCAGTATCATTATATTGTAGTTATAAAATAAACGAAACCTCACTTTCGAAAAGCAAACGTTAAATACTGAATTCAAGCGTTACACCGGGCACTTCTCCACACTTTTCTCTCACCAGGGGAGCATAGTCAAATTTTGAGAGCTAGAAGACTTATACCTTTCCGAGAGCCCATGTTTTGGAAAATGCTCCAATTCTGAACAGAGCTATAAATCAAAAGTAAAATTTCTATTATTTTTCCTTTAACTTTTCAACTTTCATTTTTAAATTCCATTGTCGCATCATAATGAGACTGAGGTTATTATATATTATATGATTAGCTCTTTACATGTATTCATTGTACGTGCATTACTTTCTCCACAATATTCATACGCTTCTGAATTTGTACAACATTCAGTAGTTGCCGAACCTTTGTCAACATTATTTAATAAAATCTTACGATTTAGTCACAATAACCCGAGAAGCAGTAAAAGATAAAGTAAAAGTTTGTTATTCGAAAGGTGTGCTGGTGGACTTCATTTCGATACCGGTCACGGTGGGTTTTACCTCGGCGACGTCCGTTATAATTGTCGCCTCCCAACTAAAGGGCCTTCTTGGCCTACGGATCTCACCAACTGGATTCATGGACACCCTGAGACAAGTCGTACGCCATATCGACGAGACCAACCCTTGGGACGCTGGCATGAGCTTCACCTGCATCGTTTTGTTGTTGCTGTTAAGGGTGAGAGTCGAGCGCGGATAATCAAACTCTTCGTCGACATTTCGATATAATCGGGGTTAACAATAAAGTCTCGAGATTATCAACTTTTATATAAAATGCTGCTCGATGACACTGCACTATTGGTAGATTATCGGAATTTCTGTATTCATGGTTGTTATCGAATACAGTGATGTCGCGCTTTGGTGTGAATTTACCTGAATACAATACGACGAATAATCGATCAAAAGCTCGTAAGCGCCCGAATCTCAAATGATAATTAATCTATTCTGCTCTTTGGACTAATAATTTATAATTGTTAAAATGTCGTACCTATCGCGAGAGAATATCCACGAGACATGGGAGGGCGCGTGCGTGATCCATTCGAATGGGAAGGGGAAATTGAAAAGTTTGGACGAAAAATTGCAGAGGTTGAAGGATGTGAGCCTGTGCAAGGCCGGAGAAAAGCCAACGCGCCGCCAATGGATTCTGACCAAGATCCTTTGGCTCCTGGCTACCGCCCGTAATGCAATCGTCGTTGTTGTTAGCTCGAGCATCGCTTACAAACTCAACAACTTGAGCTTCGGTTGTCCATTCGTACTTACGGGACCAGTGAGGCCCGGGCTGCCGAACTTCGGACCTCCACCCTTCTCTACCCGGGTAAGTTTTACGCATGACTTTTTGTGTTTCTCTTATCGAATTTGGTCGTTAATAGATCTCGCGAATCTCAACCATCGTACGGAGAATATAAGGAAATTCGCCCTTTATTAATCCTTTAACTTGAATGAGTTATTATTGATCGAGTAGAAAAAGCGCTATTGCCGTTCGATTCGAGTAAAGAGTAAAGTTAGTAGAAAAGAATCAACTAAAGAAGCTAAAAAATAACATAGAAGAAGTATGGTTTAATGCAGTAGATGGATTAATTATAGAATCAATTGCGAGTGACGTTTATTGAGATTCAGATAAGTTTAATGTGACTAAATATTTAAAATGTAAGTGATGAGCAATTTAAAATAAACGTAATTTTCTTTAAAAACCACGCGTCAAATTTTATAGTTCTCATGCTCTATTCAACTCTATAATCGCGCCAACAATTGGATATTTTAAATATTTGCACACTACCAATGGCATAAGTATCTCTCGATCATAGATTAGCGTCAAACAGAAAGGCGCGGGCTTGTTAAGATCAAGATTTTACGTATTATTCCGATACGTTTAATCTCTTTAATTACGATATTAAACAGATGGTACCCGATACCTCGTACCTATACATTTGCAAATGAACAATAGAAAATCTCGTAAATGTACGCAGGTGAACAATCGTACCCTGGGACTGACAGAGATGTGCGCGGAGCTCGGACTATCGATCATCCTTGTGCCGATAATCGGTGTGCTTGGAAACGTGGCCATCGCCAAGGCCTTCGCCTCTGGCAACCAAGTGGATGCAACTCAGGAGCTTATAACCCTCGGCATCTGCAACGTCCTGGGCTCGTGCGCCAGCTCCATGCCGGTTACCGGTTCCTTCAGTCGCTCCGCGGTCAACCACGCGAGCGGCGTCAAGACGCCCATGAGCGGATTATACACTGGCCTTCTTATATTACTCGCCCTCACGCTTCTCACGCCCTACTTCTACTTCATACCCAAAGGTGTACGATTTTTCCATTTATTCTTTATGTCGAGTGTTTTCAAGCCAATATCCCCCATGAAAGAATAGTGCCTTTTCATTGTTAATTTAGATTCGCAGCTTCGGTGATTCGTACAAATTACCATTGATTGTACGTTCGTTAGTTTGACTCGGTTGTCAATTTATGTGCAATATATTATCATCGATGATTTTATATGACTTGGAAGGAATGTGGAAATTTTAGGCCCTAGTCGCCTTAGCTTTATAATAATCGGCGAATATTTTTTTATAAAATTTCAGCGTCTTTGGCAGCTGTAATAATATGTGCTGTTATATATATGATCGAGTACGAAGTTGTGAAGCTCATGTGGAAGTCGAGCAAGAAGGATCTGATACCCATGTTCGCCACATTTCTGCTGTGTCTCGTTATAGGCGTGGAATATGGAATTGTCGCCGGTGTCGGGATAAATTTGATATTTTTACTTTATCCGTCGGCTCGACCGCAAGTCCACGTCGAAAAGTATTTCGTAAGTATTGCTTTTCAATAGGCTATTGGTGTTAAATTATAATGAAAGTATGGGCTCGCCACACTGTACAAACAATTGACAAATCTTATTTAATTTTTCGAATGAACATTGCTACATATCAAACACTCTGATCGAATTGATATTATCGAAATTATTATCGAATCTCTATTGTAACGACGTTGTTAGCTAGTGGAAGGAAAAGTAAAAAACATTATCACCGATATTATTTTAAACGTATTAAAGCCCACCTCTACTCCACCCATTCATCAGGCACAAATAAATATTTATATATTTATCATAATATATTTATTATAAAAACAAATGAAATTTATCAGACAAGTGATTAAAGAATTTTTTTACTTCCCATATGAACTTCGCATATGAATTAGAAGTGTCTAAGCGTTTTGCTGTTGTAGACCGACTCTGGTGCTGAGTATCTGATGGTAACACCTGGGAACAGTCTCTATTTCCCTGCGGTAGATTTCATTAAGCAATCCGTCGGTAATGCCGGTATCACCGAAGGATCTAGCCAAGTGCCGGTTGTTGTCGACTGCAGATATGTCCTTGGGGCCGACTTCACCGCCGCTAAAGTTAGTATTGCTTATTGTAGAGCGATTTTTACTCATTACGAATGGACTCAAGCTATGCATCATTTGATTGGGCACGCAATTTCTAACAACGAATAGTCGTATTGACAATTTTTATTTATCGCAACTTATTGTTATGTACTATCCTACCACGTAAGTTCTTGCCTCAATAAAGCAATGTGTTTTTAATGAGTCTACTCGAGCATGAAAGAAAATTGTCGAGCTCTTTTAATTGCGAGCGTTTATTGTTACTATTTTTTTTACAAGACCTAGTGCACTAACAACAAGTGTTAGATACAAATGTCTGTTTGATCATATCAGGGAATCGCTGCTCTAATAAGCGAATTTGACAACCGTAAACAGGGCTTGTACTTCTACAATCCCAGATCAGATGTCGTCGCGGTCCTTAAAGGAGCCTGCGGGGAAGACTTTCAATACGTTTCCACCCACGAGGAACTCTCCTACCTTCTCCATACCACAAGAGGTAATTCCATTTGCCAGTTAAATACAAGCAAGAGCCATCTACATTTATTTTCATAAATTTATGTGCATAAAGCATAAGGATAGTAAAACATTTTTATTTGATTTACACATTGTATTTATAATGTAATGTTCATTGGCATTGATTGATTGGCCTCGAATTTATACATTCGAAGTTACGTCTTATTAAAAAGAAAATCTTAAACGTTAAATTATCTTTCACCTTCTTTCACAATTCACATGCGTCGCTGCAATTACGATCGAACGTTGATACTAATAACTTAAACATTTCGCTTACGCGTACATGATTTTCTTAGAGAAGTCGTCGCATCAGTTGCTGGAGATACATCGCGATCGAGACGAGCCGCTTATCAGTATCCAGGAGCTGACGCACCGAGTTGTGCACACGTCGTGCCAGGACCTGAGCGAGGTGAAAATGACGCTCTTGCAGGCGAGCGGAAGCTGATGGAACCCCGTAATGCCGAGGACGTAAAGACTCCGATAAACTAAACGAGTGAAAATGGAGAAAAATAGCCATTAAGATTAATTCTCGTGTGCTATGGGCATTGTTTATCGACACTTTTACGTAACGTAGACCTCTCACGGATGAATTTTAAAATCAGTATTTTTTTCTTTTTCTATCGTAGTACCAATCAAGATGTGTGCTCATATACGTTCTTATTGTTTTTTATTGATTTTATCGTGCCTAATCATTTTATTTCATAGCACAACTTTATATTGTCGTGGAAAGTATCGGTATTATAAGTAGACTCATACACTCGTTAGATGCTATAATATTGGTATTGTAAAAAGTTTTTAAATGCAACAGTACCCGTATTATTTGTCCAGACTAAGGTATGCGTATGTTGTACGTACGCATATTTTTATTTTATTTACACAGGTTAGAATGCAGTTGTAGCTGATACAAAGTATAGATATTATTATTTAATAAATGTATACAGGTACATGATGATTGATTTTTTAATTTCAATTGTCCAGAATATTATCCTTTTAAAAAGTCCACTTCCTCATTCTTAAGAAACCACGTATTTTTCGCGAGTCGAGCCGAAGCTTATAAAAACGAAGACGATGAGCAGAGTTTCCTGGTATATCGTTACCCGTAATCAAATACGTAATTAAGCTGCTCGGGCTCGTCACGATTCGGTGGTGAAGCTTCGCGGAGTGTGGTACACGTGCATGTGAAAGCAGCCAACCGCATCAAATCTAGATAGAAGGTCTTGGATGGTTCTCCTAAGCTTCACTTAAAGTTCACTAATTTCTTGGATTTCGAAATATTGAATTACTACTTACTGTTCGTAAAGGCATCATTGTTACAACATGAAAAATATTTGAATGTTCAATTATTATTTACTATTAATTATTCTTCATGGAGCAATTCATTTTTAAATCTAATTTTATGCTCTTCTTATTTGTGAAATACTTTTTTTAATTATATATGTATATTAAATGTATTTGCCTAGTTTACAAATCAGTTTAATCTATAAATCCGTTTAAATTATATTGATTTCTTATATTTCGTTTAAATGACATTCGATAGTACAATGCATGAAATTCGATATAATGCAGCATTAAAAAACCAAATCTTTAAATTACTCTTGTTAATGACAACCTTACGTTAAATGGCCGTTATTTCTCAATATAATAATAATTAAAGATTATATTTAGATAACTGTGATTGTTAATACTTTTATTTATTGTAGTGTTTAGTAAAAGTAGTATTCTTATCGGAGCAAAAGTGTATGCAGATAGTAAATATTGTTGGAATTATTGCGCGATTAGGTGGAATAAAACAGCTTTTAGATCATTTTTAAATAATTAACTACGGATCGATATTTTTATTCGCAACTGAAATTAAAAGTAACGAACGTATTAACAGTCACGTATACAAAAAATATGCAACATGTTTTAATCATATTGTGATAAGATGTCACTTGGCGGAACTTCGATAGACTGAATACATAAAACAGGATCGAACTTGTTTGTCGCATGGTCTATCGATTCCAATTAAATTTATTTAAAAAGTAAAATATATAATGAGTACAATTGATTAAAATATTTAATGCGACTGCTTAGATGAGTGGTTTTAAATGAACAGATTTGATACATACAGATTTGATCGTAAATAAGTTTATTATTAGTTTTTTTTTTTTTTTAATATTCATTTCTTTATTTCAAATTAATTTCAAATATTTCTTCACAGTCGATATCTATCTTATCCTTACATTAAAATTTTATATATATATATATATAGATATACGTAAGTACGAAGCAATCGGAATATCAAATTAAGAAAATATAAAAGTCACATGCACATGACAAAACAAGTTTAGATATATTAATATAATAAAATTTATAACTCAATCTTGATCTTTATAGTCGCATTCTTGATACGTTTAAATGTAGCTGAGGTGTTGTTCCATGTTATATAATAAGTGAATTTCATTTACCGTTCTATAATAGTTCTTCTATATTCACTATTTTTCTGTAAAAAAAGTTTTTGAATAATTACCATGAAAATGTAAATAATTACGAGTAATACTCATTCTTTGTAATTAATAATTATTAATTATTCTTTATTCGAACATCGTAACTTTAATAAATTTACAATATAAATTAGTGTACGTTATAAAAAAAAATGAATATTTCTTTTTCCACCACCTATACATAATTTTTGAACTTTCTTATAATAAGTAATTCATTATGAATATATCGGAAGACATATACGTTTGATTTATTAATACTTCGGAAATATTGCACTTCAGTCCCTATGTTACATCGCGTAGTTCATTATTTATGAAAATGTCGTATCCATTAAAAAAATGACAACGTTATAATAACTCTAATTTTCATATTAAAATATTTAAAATTTGATATTTTAATAAAAACATTACCAATACACATGCTATCGAAGAGAGTATGGAAAGGGAAAGTGAATTGTTGAACTTTAATATGTAACTCTTAATTTATAAGTAAGCAGATTAAAAAGAAAAGAAAATACTTTAAATTATACGAAATAAGCATATCAAGTACTACGTATTACAATATATTAGTATAAAAATGTTCATTATAAATGCATTATAAACTTTACATTTGCATATTATAATGAAAATAAAAAAAAAAAAATTAAAAATTTAATGAGATGATAATGGCGTTTTCTTATTTGGAGCATTTACAGTTATTTGGTACGTGCAGAATTTCTATGATTCAAACTGTGACGATCAATTAAATATTTGCATAAACGTGTCCTTGGTACCAGTTACAGTATTTAACATCGATATTGTACATAACTTTGAAAAACAATAAAAATAGATTCTTATACGTACGCACATACACATCCTACTATATATTTGGTTTTAAACTTGAAAATTACTGACATTTACATTAGTAAGTACACGTATAAGAAATAAACATTTCTTGTATAAAATTAAAAATATATAACACAAAGTACATTATATGTACAATTGTTATTTATAATCATATAAATATATTATAAAAATAAATCATAGGTTAATCTCTTATTATCGAATTAAAAATACGTCGGTTGCTTTGCGATATAGGTTGATATCGATTTCAAAAGTCAACTGAAATTTAGCTCTGCAAATTCTACATGACACATTAAATCCATTTTGTGCGTCTCCATTTTGAGCGCTTCCATAGCAAAATATAGAATCGAAAGGTAATTGCGTTGAAAGTCATCAGTATCAGTAAAGTCCAGAGACCATGTCAGTGACCTTGGCGCGTATGTTGTGGGCTGATGATCCATTCATGTGTCTGTGCGTGCTTTTCGCGAGGAATTGTTGCTGATGTTTATGTTGATGTTGTTGTTGATGTTGATGTTGATGTTGCTGTTGATGTTGCTGCTGCTGTTGTTGTTGTTGTTGTTGTTGTTGTTGTTGTTGTTGCTGCTGCTGCTGATGCTGTTGCTGCTGCTGTTGCAGTTGGGAATGACTAATGCCCGAGTATTTGCCTGCGTTAAAGCGGTTCTTACCGAAGCCCAGGACATCATGAGGCCTGCCAGCAAAGATGCTTGAATCGTTTTGTTGCTGCCTCCTCGCGCTCATCGACCTGTGCCTGCTATCGAGGAATGACGTATATTTACGATCGTCAGCCACCTCGGAGCGTTTATTGTCGATCTCCTCGTGGCAGTCCCGGTAAGGATGCTCGTCACGGTGCCGATCCCGAGCCCGATGCTGCCGCTGCTCATTCCTCTCCTCGTTTGATAGTCTCCTGCACAAATGGGCCCTACGCCCGTTTGTAATTTCGATCATCGCATCCAAACCCTCGTCGATCCTATCGAGGCTTTTGGTCATCGACCGTGGCCGTTTGCCACCGTAATTTGAGTCGCTGTCAAGGAGGCCGTAGGCGAGGCCGCTGTCACTGCCACCTCGGGACGATGAACCGTTATCCTTAGAGCTGAGCCGCGTCTGGTGGAAGGACTCGGATCTACGGAGCCTCGAGACCGTATCATCCGGTGAGCATTTACGCACCTCGAAGCCGTTCAGGCTCTCGAACTTCCTGATATGCTCGATCACGCCTCGGGACTTGGGCCCCTCATCAACGTGGTCTTGGCTTTGGCAGCGACGCAAATATTTTCGCCTCTCGGTCCGCCGCTGTACCGTATTGCCCCCGCACTTACTGTATTGTTTACTTCCGTGGTATTGGCTATCCGGCCGTTTTTTCGCTATTCTCTCGTCGAGGATCGTCTCGGATATCTCGAAATCGGCCAGGCAGTCGATTTTTAACTCGCCGCCGCTAAGACTACGCCTACGTCCGAAGACATTCGAGGGCTCCTCGATTTGAATGCTGGGATCATTACGGACCGAGAGTTTGGCCGCGTGATAGTTGAGACGAGAGGCGCTCAGCAGGGAATCGCTGCCGTCGTCGTCGAGGAGAAGAAGCTCATCGTCCTGCTCCGAATCCATGCAGACCTCGATCACGCGGTGGTGGCCGGCCTCCTGATCTAATACGAGGTCGCAAGTCGCCGGGAGGAGATGCTGCTGTAGGTATAGTGAATTTCCGACGATATAAGGAGGCGTTCGTCGAGGCGGTTGTGGGTGAATTATTGCCGGTATTATAGCCGATTCCTTGTCCTCCTCTTCGTTTGCAATCAAATCCCTAGATTAAAAGAATTCCAATTAAAAGAGTGTATTTTATATGCAAACAATTAATAATTAATAGGCATTAATAATATTTCAATTCAATTATAACTTTTATAATTAATAAGCATTCGTATCTGTATCTACATGACTCGAACGTAAGCTTCGCAGAGGCATTTTAAATGCAATTTTACACAAACATTTGGCATTTTCGTCCCTAGTAGTATGTGAAGCGCATATCGCTATACTTAAATAAACTGTCGATTTACCTAGTCTGTTGATGAGGACCGAGTACGACGATCTTTAAACTATCATTGGACTTAAGACCTCGGTCGATCCTGGCGCTCTCCTCGGAGTTCCTCAAGCATTCTCGGGCTTTACTGGGTGGTGTGATTTTCCCCTTGGCCGGTAGTTTTATTGTGGACGAGGCTTTACCAAACTCTGCCGTCTGCATCTTGGAACTTGTGTCTGGCATGATGTTCCAATCGTGGAGCTCCTCCTCCGCGTCTTTTACGATGATTCTTAATTCCTCGATGACGTCGTCGATGGTCGTTTCTTGATCGTTATCAATGCCATGAGCCACTGATGGTCTTACCGGTTGAGCCTCGGGACTGCTCGACCTCTCCGAGAAGCTAATGCCCTCGTCCTCGGCACTCGACGACACCTTCTTCTCTACTTCCATTTTCGCGTGCTAAGAAGACGATGGATATTACTGCGTAACACGCGCTTATGATAAAAAATTCGAATATCAATTGGATTGTTCAATGGAATAGTGACGCTTTACGAAGATCGATTTGAATATTGAAATACCGATTCATTCATTCATTTGTTATAGATCTTGGATAGAAGCTTTTTACGTAAATAATAAATTAATTACGCAAATTCCATATAAGCTCATACAGAATAGTATTGTTAATTAGATAAACCTCTGAGTCGACAATCTCGTCTCTCGAACAATCCGTTTTTCGCATATTGACAAAGAGAGTCACCGTCTATACTCACCACGTGCACCTCCTCGTCCTTAGCGTTAGCTGCCATTGTCGCATCTCCAATCTCTTGCTTTTTCACCTGAGGGACGCTGTTGTACTCGTTGAGGCGCTCGAGCTGAATCTTCTGGAGCTGTCTCTGAAGGGCAGATACCTTCTTGCTGAGGAGCCGGCAAGTTTCCTCAGCTCGACGTGCTCGACCTTGGAGTGCGTCCACGTCAACGCAGTGCCGTGACCACTTACGTACCTCCTCCCGTAGTAGTTCCGTCAGCGGCTCCTCATCGTCAGCGTATTTCAACCACTCTTGGAGCGCGCGCGGCTCTAGTCCTGCTTCGCATGCCTCCGCCTATATCGAATTTAAGCATAACATTGTCGCTTTAACACCGTTCTTTCAGCAGTATATTACATACTGGTATTGCGATTTCATCGAGTCTAATTGCCAAAGACGCCTCGTCGCGAGGATCTTGTAACATACACATGCTCTGAATTTATTTTAATTTCGTGTTCGATAAATGCGAATAAGAGCTCACGTTAAAGCATCGGCATTTGTTCATCAACCAAGTGGACTTACCTGTATGTAGAGTTTAGTTTGGGCTCGCGGCGCTGAAGCGAGAAAGGCATTGAGGAAGGAGACACCGGCAACACGAAGAGCGAGGGCAGCTTTGGAGGCAAGAAGTGCGCCAGCAAGAAAGCGGAATCTCCCGCCCTCGCCGTAACGCAACCTCAGGGTGGACACGGCTTCGGAAACGGCTGCATGACCACCGGTCGTCTGGCACACCCTCGTCAGTAACTGAAATAGAGGGATACAAGTGTCAATCGAAAGAAAAGATGCATCGTTAAAAATGCCAAGGCTAGAGTGTCGTGCATTTAATGCATGAGAATCCATTTATTGTGACGCACCGAGTGCTGTAAAATTGATAAAAATAATCAATTGGACTATAGGCATTTTCAACAAAGAAGCTTCTCATAATAAATGATATATTTATTAAAAAGCTGTAATATCAATGTCAAGCAGTGACGAAGATTTGTGTGAATAATCGACTAAGAAATTAAATTGCAGCGCGTACACTCGCATCTAAGATAATCGGCTGTAGCCGCATAGTGAACAAAATTAGTTAATTCAATACTCAGGACAAAGTAAATCGTGCCAAAGAAAGATGGAGGGAGATTAATTAATGCGCGCCAGCTACGTAGGTATCTCAGTAGGAAATGCCTATAACGGAGCGACGGAATGCGACGGATAAAAAGGGCCACGGGATGCAAGAAAACGAGAGGATAAAAATCGCGTCGCCGACCATAAATATTACAGAGGGTTCGATCACCTCGTGGCCGCGACGACTCATTAAAATAGATGAGGTACCGGCGGGACCGTGCGCAATATTAAAATTCATGAGTCCGCGCCAAGTTGGAGACTCTGCATGGTTCTCGCCCCTCCCTGGATTCCCGTTGTGATAAGGACATGTCACAATAGTGCGTCCATTAAAAACTTGATATGGACGTAAGAGATTGATTCATTAACTTCTATTTCCATTAACAGATTACTCGCATTCTTTGGGTGGCCGGTAGTGTAACCCTCGGCCGATTCGTGTCTTTCATTCAAATTCTATTGTCTGGTGAATTTAGGCATTCCTGTAGTATGTAAAATTTAGGGAAATGAAATCACCGGGCGTCACATCTTGGTCGGTCGCTATGAAAATTGGTCACCAAGGAATTTTCTCCACGTTCATATTCACGTCATTAAAAAAAAAAAAAACTCTATAATATTACTCCTTGCTTGAAATTTATTAGAAAAGTACTCGAAACTGTGAAAAATAATTTTTGAATACAAAATCAGGTGACTATTAGAACTCGATTTCTCAACGCCGAATAACTAGTAGAAGCCCTAAATGCTTCTAATCTTTGAATCGATGAATTATCGTTTGTCCTAATGAATTGGACAAATTGCTACAAAGAATAATCGCTCGTTTCAATAAAAAGAAAAGCTACTTTCGATAAATGATGATGGTCAAATTTGTTTTCGGTGCAAGCGCATTTTCTGTCCAAAAAATCTTGAATGATATTTTCATTCCCATGACGATCATTAAATCCAGTATGCTTATAGATATAAATATATTGTTTTAATTTGATATTCTGAACATGTATTTTTTTTTTTTTTTTTTTTTAACATAAGTTATCGGTTCATCGATGATGCTCTTTAAAAACTTGTATTGAATCTAAACAATAAGTTCATCCATTGCGCAGGATTTATATTTATGTTATATTTATATTGATATTATATTTATGTTCTTCGAACATCGATAAAAGTATTCCTTAATACATAATAATTTCACGACTATTTAAATAATTACTATCAATTGAATATCAAGCCGTTTAAATAATTATATAATTAGATAATATCAAATAAAATATTTATTACATATGATATAAAAAAAAATTATTATACTACATTTTCGTTTTATGATTTAAGATGAAAATCATTACTGAAATAATTATAGTTTTTTATATAGTAAGAATAAAACATGCTTGCTTTTTTTTTTTTTTTTTTTAAGAAACGAAAGTCTCCCTATGATTATACAGTGTTTCTAAAGCATAATGATTACTTTTCATACAAAAGGTTATTTCTTTACAATTATTAATGATACATTCTTTATTTTACCTACTTGGTTTAGCGCAAATCTAGCAACTTTTAATTTGGTTTATTAGCACAGAATTTACGAGATGTAATGTAGCATAATAACTTCACCAATTTAATCATATATTTATTCAAAATGCATATCAAACACTGTGTATAATTATTTTTAAGGTCAAATACGTATAATGATATGTATAATAAGAGTGAAAATTTTTTCTTGATTTATATATGAGTTTTATCAAATTTTATAATGTATAATTTTTCATGATAATTATTAAGGTAGAAAGGATAATATGGAATTATTTTCTTCGTATAGAATTAGCATTCAACGAAGAATTTTCAATTATAATTTTTGTTTTATTCAAAAAAGTTATATAAATTATTTTTAATGCGCTATTTAAAGAAACTAGTTAAAAGGTTTCCACAAGTTTCATAAGAATTGAATATAACATCATTCAGCAGACATGAGCTCACTTCTAACATTAATAAGCTTCTAACAAACTTTTAACATTCTAACTATTAATAAGCTCAAATAGTTTAAAAAGGTTTATTGGACAAATTTTAGATTTATCGAGAGGATTACACGTCCTTTTTCCATGGATAAATCAGCATGGTATTACGGCAGGACATCTGATAATCAAGGGTTACGGCATGTCGGAGTTCAAAATATACTTTAATTTGGCGATTATAGCATGCGCAATAACGATCGTAATTATATCGATAGCCTCGGTGATTTGGCTGCTGAAATTAGACAGCGAAATCTATACGACCTACGATATAACGATGGTATTAATGAATAACTCACTGAGATCCCAGCCTCGCTGAATTTACGAAAGGATTATATTCTTTTGTTTCGTTTTCGACTCGCTTGCGCATCCGCCACAGATGATCGAAAAATGATATGTACCAGAAATACTTAATATCAAGATGTTCCGATATTTATCCAACCACGGCATCGCTCGTCTTGTTATCGACGATACAATGACCACCAACGCGTATAACTCAATTGTTTGCGCTAACTCTTTATCCGGTTCGCTATTAACTACAAAACTCGGATTTTTATACGTCGTGCTTTTTTTTTATTATAATGCATTATACTTAATTGACCCTTTATTATCAATAACTACTCTCAATAAGAGTGGCACAATTAACTTACTTATAATAAACTGATAATACAAAAGATGTCTCCTCCTTTTCCATGAAACAAAGACTTGTAATTTGAAATAAAGTATATTACAATCAAGAATAATACATGTAATATTGCCCTAAAAAATTCTAAGAATAGGGTAATCGATCGCGTTAAATCGTTGATAAATGTAACTTGATCGGTGAACGATTGTGCGATCGATAACATTCTGGGCCCATTTGGTCGCCAAAGGCTTAACTCACAATGAAAACAAAAGATCGAAGGCTTCGATAAGGCCTTACGTTGATTCCTCAAGTTCGGCCTTAAGAATATTAGCGCGACCAGGAGCTTTCGTCACTTCGTGCAATCGCATCATCATCAACAACCGGTAAGTGTATTTATCACCTCCGGACGATGCAGCATTCCACGATTCACCGAGCCAAGAGAAGGATCGCTAGCGCGCAATGTTATCCTCGTGTTAATCATCGGACAGTTGACATCCTGCGCTACGTTCCTGGACGAACTGATAATCAGTTATTTTAGTTGTGCACACACACGATATTACCTGCGTCATTCTATTGTTAAACGATAATGTGCTAATTGCAGATTATTGTCTCTTTCAAAATATTCTCAGGATAATTAATAAATTTTAAAGTTAATTTTAACATTTCTTTTAATTTTGTAAATTTATAAATAATTTTATAAATAACAATCTTTCGTTTAAGATTTTGATGATTATAATTTTCTTTGCAAGTTTCTCATCTTCAAAGTATTTAAATTTCTTATCGAATCGTATTATAAAAAATTTTTCAATTTATAAATGCACGTAATTATATTACTATATATGAGTGCATTACTAATATACTATATGTTATTAACTTATATTTAAATATATTTAAATTTTGAAAACGGCTAGTTAATTTTACATAAACGTGTTTTTAGTTAATAATTTTTTTTACCGTTTGAGTCAACTAAAACATAATATATAATTTTGAATTTGTTTTTACATTAGTATAATTTTACATTAGTATAACAATGTTGTATTTGAATTGATAAATTGTCTTAATTATTAAAATAATTTTGTCGACCAACTTACTTTTAAACTGTTTCCAATATTAAAAAAAATTGTAATTTTAACCTAAAATTAAAAAGAAAGATTAACGATAAGAATTTCGCTATTTATAAAAAAAAAAAAAAAAAAAAAAAAAAAAAAAAAAAAACTACTAATCATATAAGTTGAAAATACGCGCATTAATATATAATGACTTTGAATTAGGAAAAGTATTAGGTACATAGAGAAATATATTGGATAGAAGTGAGCTTAAGATAAACATTATCAATGACGTACAATATTCAATTTGTACTGTTTATTTATTTAGATCACTTGTTAGTTGAATTTGCATTATTTATTTAAGCATCTATAGGATAACGCGCTTAACGCGTGTAAATACGCGTTCCATCGCTCAAATTTTATCGACCAGTTAACGAGAGTTTCCAAACACTTTTAAGTTTATTGTAATTAATGAGCTCGTCAATTTCTTAATCGTACGGTGTACACGATTCTAATTTAAAATATTGAGTATTTTTGTATGTAATTTAACAATCCATTGTCAAAATCATGAATCGTTTAATAAACGTTTCATTTGTTTTATTTTCACTTGTTGTGTACAATAATACAATAGATTTCTCAGAAAGAGATATAATAGATTACATAATTAACTATATTAAATATAGTCAACAATTTCACGTAATTACGATATATAATAAAATGTCTAAGAAGTTCTCATCGATATCTATGAAATTCATACAAAAAATAACGAATCGATTTCCAATAATATCCGTAGATATAGAAGATTTATTTCAACTACTGAACAATCGATTGCTATCCACAAAGAAATGGTTAAATTTTCAATCCCAAAGAAAATCGTTGAGTCTATTATTTATTAACAACGATTATGAGGATAATATAGATCAAGCTCTTATCGACAGCGTCGCCTTTATAGCTAACTTTACAATATGGGAAACTCGTTCT